ACATTATGCATCACCTCTTTCCCCTGCAACACTTTCAGCAAGGCCTTGCTGGAGACCAAAGTCCATACCCTGTGACTTAGCATTCAAAGCTTCATCCTAGTTTTCTAAACTTATTTCTGCACACACTTGGAGGAAATTGACAGATCATGGCCAGGGTGAGCCTGTAGGGAGCAGGCATGAAGCCTGTGTAGGAGACTTATTGGAATGCTGGTTTGGGTTTCCTCCACAGGGAAATTGCTTTGGGGACATTCTCCAGGCAAGTTTGGGCAGCAAGCTCTTTGCTGCCTTTCATCTAGGAGAGGATCTGGGGTCATTCTATCACAGGACCACGATTAAAGCAACTGGGCTGGTTTGGGCAGTGTGAAACACAAAACCAGATGTTTATTCAGTAATTGGTAAATGCCATGTGTGTTAGGGCTTCCCAGACAGTGGTCGTTCTAAGCAGCACTGATGTAAGGGAGAATTGTCTGGCCTCTCTACTCTTGATCTTGTTAGTTCTAGGCAGCTGAGGCCTCTCTTTAAAGAAAAACGAAACCCTGTTGCTCCCTAATACAAATGTTGCTCCTACCTCCATATCCTCTTGTCCTTCCTCCCCAATCAGATGTCATTCCCAGGAAGGGCCCGAGGACCTCTATACTGAAATGGAAATGACTGGAAATGCTCACTGCATTTTTTTTTTTTTTTTTTTCTGGAGGAAAAAGAGGAGGGTCCTTAATTAGTGAAAGTCTTGATAGCTAATTGCGCTTTCCCTAATTCTGGAGTCCTCTCTGTTATGGGATGGCAGTGAGCTGAGGGGATCTTATCTTTCATGTGAACTCTCTATCACACTTGTTTGTCCACACCACACCATCCTGGAGAGGGAAGTGAGGACTCAGGTAACCACAGCAACAGTAACAAGAATAGCTGCATCCTCTCAGCCACTATCTATGCCTTTACTTTTCCCTGGCAGAGTTCCAGGCAGTTCTACGTACTTCCGTGCGTCTACTGCAGCCACTGTGTTTGCTTAATAGCGTTAATTTTGTTTTAATAATTTAGAGATATTAAATGCTTATTACAGAGGATCTGGGAAAACATTGAGAATTAAAAGTGACCCATACTAGAGATAACTACTAACATTTTTGTATACTTCCTCTTAGTATTTTTAAAGGCATATTTGTAAATATTGAACATCATTAATGTTTTGTATTCAGCCTTTTGCACTTTACATTAAATCATATGCTTTTTCTGTGTCATTAAGTATGCTTTAGAAAGAGAATTTTAATGTCAGCATAAAATTACACTCTACAGTTTTAGCATAATTTGTCCAATTGTCGGATGTTCAGTTTGGTTCCCAGTTTTCCCATTGATAACCAATGGCCAATCACTGCGGGGCCCTGGATGCACGCGCTGCTGTTGCTCCAGAGGAGGTCGGGAAGGGCTCTCTCTGCCCTGTCAGTGTTAATGCTTCTAGGCATCAAAGAAGATGAAAGCACTTTCTCAGTCTCTCTCTGCATCTCTGATCTTACAACATTTCTTTAATGTCATCCTATTAAGTGGGTCCAAGCCCTCTTCTGAGAAAGGCTGAAGCCGCCAAAGCCAATAAACCAAACTGGCTGGAAAAGGAGAGAAGAGCTGGCTGACTGGAAGCTTCCTGGGTGATCACTGAGGCATTATCCCAAAAAGAACACTACACAAATGTGGTGTTTTCACATTGCATTCATGTTAGAACCCATAATGAGCCACTTCGTACCCATTAAGATGGCTGTTATCAAAAAAATGGAAACTAGCCAGAGTTGGCAAGGGTGTGGAGAATCGGAGCCCTTACGTGCTGTTGGTAAGAACGCAAGTGGTGCAGCAGCTATGGAAAACAGCGTGATGGGTCCTCAGAGAGTTAACGCAGAACTACCATATCATCCAGCAGTCCCTCGCCTAGGTATGTGCCCAAATTGAATTTGGGCATAATTGAAAGCAGGGACCTGAACAGGTATCGGCCTACCCTGTTCATAGCAGCATTATGCACAAGAGCCAAAAAGTGGAAACAATCCGAATGTTTTTACCAACAGATGAACAGGAAAAAATGCCGTATATCCATACAATGGAATATTATTTAGCCTTAAAAAAAGGGTGAAATTCTGATACATGCTACAACATGGATGAACCCGGAAGACAACCTGCTAAATGAAATAAGCCAGACAGAAAAGGATTCCACTTATGTGAGGTACTAGGGTAATGAGATTCATGGGACAGAAAGTAAAGTGGTAGTTGCTTGGGGCTGGGGAGCAGGGCCAATGAGGGATCATTGTTTACTGGATATAGTTTCAGTTTTACAAGATAAAAAAGTTCTGGAGATGGATGGTGGCAGTGATTGTACAAGACTGTAAATGTACTTAGTACCACTGAACTGTACACGTAAACATGATTAAAATGGTAAATTTTTTGTTATGTATATTTTCCACAAAGAATAAACATGCACATGATGGTTGCAGAGCCGCAGGAGTAGAGTCTGACGCTAAAACCTAGTAGAAGAGTGAAAGACTATTTTTGTTGTTGTTGTTTTTCTTTTTTTCTTTTTTTTTTCCTGCTGTACGCGGGCCTCTCACTGTTGTGGCCTCTCCCGTTGCAGTGCACAGGCTCTGGACGCGCAGGCTTAGCGGCCATGGCTCACAGGCCTAGCTGCTCCGCGGCATGTGGGATCTTCCCAGACCGGGGCACGAACCCATGTCCCCTGCATCGGCAGGTGGACTCTGAACCCCTGCAACACCAGGGAAGCCCGGGATTAACTTTTGAAGGGGAAGAGTATCAAAGAGTTAGTGAGCGTATTTGAAAACCATCACACTGGGTAAGAATAGGTGAGGACTTGGCCTAGGAGAAGACTTCAGATGGAGAGAGGAAGAAATTAGGATTCTGGAAGACTCTTGAAGGAACTCTCCAAAAGCCTTGGTGCCTGTGTGAATAAGAGGAGGAGAAGTAACAGGAGGTGGTCGGATGCTAGAGTTTCAAATCATGAGAAAGAGGGTAGCCTGATGGCTCTGGCACAAATGGGTGATTCATCAAAAGGATGAGATTCTGGAGGTGATATGAGTAGGGAGAGCTTCTCCAGGCAGTTTGAAATGTAGTCCAAAAGGTGGGGAGAGAAGGTCTGAAGATGGCTGAGTAAAAGTCATCACTGAGCAGAAGCTGAAGCCCTGGAATCTGAGTTTTCTGAAAGGGATAGTGGAACAGATGAGTAGGGTACTTAGCCTTGGAGGACGCCTGGAGTAGAAAAGGAGACAAAGGAAGGAGTACCAAGAAGGGAGATTTAAAGAGAGACAGTTTGAAGCATTGGATACACCAAAAGGTGGAGAAGGATGAGGACCAAGAAAAGTAGGATCAAATCCATCTCACTCCAAAATATCTTTGTTGAGCACCTTACCTCACAACCGACAAGGCACTTCAAATGGGTGTGGAGAGTGCCTAGAGCTGAACTGAGCTTTGCATTCACTGGCACATGATTTGAACTCACTAAACCCAGCCTCCTCATTTGTAAACTGGTAGTACCTATTCCACTGGATCATTGTGGGATCCATTAGATAAGAAATAAATAGCAAAAGTAAGTGGCTGAGGAAATCAGAGGAACTGACTCTCTCCAAAAGCATGCTACTAATGACTTGTGAGTACAGGGTTTGAATAAACTGGAGGAAAGAGAAGTCTGAATCCAGCAGATAAAGTGAATGCTGAAGACGTGCACAGAGGTGCAGCTTTCTCTGTTAAGAGTTTAGCAGACAGTTGGGCCATTGCTACCAACAGGCAGTTTTGATTCTGGGAAATGACTGTATTTTAACTTCTGGTTTCAGGTCCGACTGCAGACGCAGCCCCCAAATTTGCCTGGACAGCCTCCCATGTATTCTGGGACCTTTGACTGTTTCCGGAAGACTCTTAGGAGAGAGGTACGGAATCTTGGTGCTGGGCATTTCTCTTATTCAGAGGAATGGTTTCACAGGGTTAATTTATTACTTCTCTGGGGGATAGGGTGACTTTGCGTAGTTCTGTTGGAGGTCTAGCCCACAGCTGTGGCTCTCTCACCGTGCTATCCTATGCCCTCCTATTGTCATTGCTCTGGAGTCTTTGATAGTTCCAGCTACTGTTTTATGTGAATGACTGAAGCTAATAAAATGGTTCTAAAATGGTTCTCTCTTTTGGAAGGCACAATTTAGACCACAGGGAATTCATGAGGAATAGTTGGAGACGTGAAATAGAAGAAAATGCAAATCTGGATCAGTCAGTTTGACAGGGATCAGTGTCAGAAGTTCACATAAAATCTGGAGGAAGAGTCAGCCAGTCTGAGGAACAGTGAAAGAAGCCAGCAGAGTCTTCAAACCCCTAGACTAAACTAACTAAAGGAAACTAAATTGGTTTGAGGTTATTGAATTACATAGTAATTTTTCAGATATTTCTTAAAGTGAAAACATGGGATTTTAAAAAAGGTTTAATTACTAGTGATGTTTATTTCTGACTTCATTAACACATATGTGACAAAACCTTGTTGAGAACTATTCCTTTGTTTCCTAAAATATAACTCTAATATGAATAAATATATATATAGTGTTTATTAAATATACAGAAACTGAGAAGCGGGTGTCACCCAGATAAAGAGGGGATGCTGGTGATTGATGGACTTGGTCTGGGAGGAAAAGTTGTTCCCAGGGTTCCTGCAGGACCCAAGCATGGGAGGAAGATTTTGAGGTGGAGTCTACCCAACCACCCATGCGTGAGACGGTGCTGCCTTTTCTTCTGTAAGGCTCTCTTCCTTTCATCAGCCCAGAATGGAGTCTGATCCGTGTCCAGTGGAGGCTTTGGGCTTCAAGTCAGCCAAGAGTTCTCTGCCTTTACAGAGAGGCAGGATTACATGCCTCTTGGTCAGCAAATGTTATTGAGGACCTATTCAGCACCTGGGCAGTGTGCTGGGTGCTGGAGGCCTGGTGAGAATGGCTCATATAAACCCAACTCTCTGCAGAGTTGAATAGGCTTCCTTAAGTTTATATTTGTGCTTGTCTCTGGGTTTTGCTGTGCCAGACTCAGCTCTCTGCTTTCTGGTGCTGCCAGACGGGTCTTGGTTGTGCTGCATGGAACTGGCTAGGCCAGACAGTGGAAGGAAGGCTAGAGGAGTTGTTGGGAGGCGTGGGTTTGGCCCTCAGGCCTTGGGCATCCTCTCAGCCCAGGTGGGAAGCTGTGGGAGGGGCTTTTGGAGGGCTTTGTCACCTGCTGCTTTTGCAGATCCTTCTCAGAACTTTCTCTTCCTATTCACCTTTCCTATTTACCCCCTCTGCACTTTGTCCTTGGTGAGTCTGCTTACAGCCTGTAGCAGTGCTAGACCTTTGCAGGATATGGGAGGAGTACTGACGGGTACAGTTGTGCCCCTTGAGTTCTGGAAAGAAGATGGGTTGTGAATGGCCAGGGTCTGTAGCGAGGCAGGTTCTCCAGCCTAGGTCTGTGGACCCTCTCAGTGTGCAACTCCACCCTGTTTCTCCTGCTACTTTCTGTAGGGAGCAACTTTAACATTTTTTTGTGTTTTGTTTTAAAAATTGTCCCTTATTTGTATTAAAATGATACAAGCACTTAGTTTGCTACTGAAGGACTTGTAACAAAGTAGCCCTCCCACCCCATTTCTCTAGAGGTTACTTTCAGCTCTCTCAGTTATTAATGCTATTTTCTACCTAGATGCATACGTGTATTTTATACATTTAAAAATGTGTTTTAAAACTAACACAGGGACTTCCCTGGTGGTGCAGTGGTTAAGAATCCACCTGCCAATGCAGGGGACATGGGTTCGAGCCCTGGTCCAGGAAGATCCCACATGCCGTGGAGCAACTAAGCCCGTGCGCCACAGCTACTGAGCCTGTGCTCTAGAGCCTATGAGCCACAACTACTGAAGCCCATGCACCTAGAGCCCATGCTCCACAACAAGAGAAGCCACCGCAATGAGGAGCCCGCACATGGCAACAAAGAGTAGCCCCCGCTCGCCACAGCTAGAGAAAGCCCAGGCGCAGCAACGAAGACCCAATGCAGCCAAAAATAAATAAATAAATAAATTAATTAATTAAAAAAAATATATAACACAACATTGTAAAGCAATGATACTCCAATTAAAAAAAAGAGAGAAAAAAATGTGTTTTCGCTACCTATTTGTGGTAGATGATTTTAACTCTTGCATTCCTTATCACCTTTCTGCCCTGCCCATATAATTTTATCATACTTCGTGGTTTAGTACAATTCGGTGTTTTCATGATTACAACTTTATGTGTGTTTTTCTCTGTTAACTAAGTAATGTTCTATGATGTGTATTTCATTTCTTGTACAACTTTTTGTTTTTCTTGAGGTTGGGTTAAAAATTGCATCAGTTTCTTTTGCTTGTGTTTCTTTGAATCTCTGCCTCTGTCATCCTGTACCCTAAATGCTCTGTGGAATACCTTTTTGTTTGGTTTTCCACACTGCCTAAACAGTTATAATCTGTTGTTCCAGTGTTTATTGTTTTGCTTTGTTCTTCTTAGAAAAAACAAGCTCTTCCTGGAGTCCTCTATCCTCATACTCCCACGTAGACTGGTTTCTTCCCAGGCCCACTGTACCAGACACCATCCTGGAAATCCCCTTCACCTCTCTTGCGCCAAACTCGTGGTCTCCTGGGTCCCAGATCTTCCTCTTCCTTGATTTACTAACTTGTTTGGTTGGGATATCTATTTGTCTATTTATTGGCTACTACATAGTTGCTTTCATTATCAAACTGTACTAGTGAAAATTGATGTGCAGTCTTGCTATTGTCTTTAACAATAAAAACCCCATGTCTTCTTTTTGCGGGGGCACACTGGGCGGCTTGAGTGATCTCAGTTTCCCGACCAGGGATTGAACCTGGGCCACAGCAGTGAAAGCCTGGAATCCTAACCACTAGGCCACCAGGGAACTCCCCTCATGTCTTAATACTTGGGAAATACAAGAATTTTGTACACCTCTAACGTCACCCCAAAGAAGTCACATTGTACATTCTGTTTTGTAGCCTGCTTATTTATTTATTTATTTATTTATTTATGGCTGCATTGGGTCTTCATTGCTGCATGTGGGCTTTCTCTGGTTGTGGCGAGTGGGGGTTACTCTTCGTTGTGTTGTGTGGGCTTCTCATTGCGGTGGCTTCCCTTGTTGTGGAGCATGGGCTCTAGGCACGCAGGCTCAGTAGTTGTGGCTCGTGGGCTCTAGAGCGCAGGCTCAGTAGTTGTGGCGCACGGGCTTAGTTGCTCCACAGCATGTGGGATCTTCCCGGACCAGGGATTGGACCAGGGATCAAACCAGGGCTCGAACCCGTGTCCCCTGCATTGTTAGGCAGATTCTTAACCACTGCACCACCAGGGAAGTCCCTGTAGCCTGCTGTTTTTTCACTTAGTAGTCTCTTCTCATGTTATAATGTGATTTTATGGCTATGTGATAGTCAATTTATGGAATTCCCATAATGTGTCTCAATCTCCTATTTGAGAATTTTTAGGTTCATTCCAGAATTTTGCTACTTAATAAATTCCTGATGTCATTCTTTTCTATATCTGAGTATTTCCTTAGAATACATTTCTAGACAGAGAATTTTCTGATGAAAGTGTAAGCTACATATTTCCAGATTGCCTTCCAGAATAGGAGCTGTTTTCAGTTTCTCCAGCAGTGTATAAGAAGACAACTCTTTCTGATAAATGTGGGAGTATTCTTCCTTTTAAAAGCTCTCCTTGCTTGGAGGGGAGGTGAGGGAAGGAGGCCACAGGTCAGAGGTCACACTGCTTCCCTGTTTCAGTGATGTAAAAGTTAGCTGTGTCTGTAAACAGCTTCCACTTCTGTGATTCCTTGCAGGGCATCATGGGTCTATATCGGGGCATGGCCGCCCCCATCATTGGGGTCACCCCCATGTTTGCTGTGTGCTTCTTTGGGTTTGGTTTGGGGAAGAAACTGCAACAAAAACACCCAGAGGATGTGCTCAGGTGAGTACTTACAAGCCTGGAGGACTCAATGCTGTTCTGCCTGGTGGTGTGACACAGGTTAAGGGAAAGAACCTTGGCTGACAGGCAGTGGCTGTCCTCCTGGGTCCCCAGGGCTAGCTCCTGGTTGCTCCACGTGAGGGAGGTACTTGAGTTTTCCTTTGCCCTGTGAACCAAAAAGGAAAAAGAAAAACTCAGATCCCTCCCCCACCCCCTTATTAGTTTGTCATAATTTCTTCTGTGAGGTAGTATCACTTAACTCCATAGCATTGGGAGGTCTGAGTGCTAAAATGTGTGTAAAATGCCATGAAGGTACCTGGTGCTGCAGTAAAGACAGCAGCAGCCTTGTTTCCCATCACCTGGTTGGGAGAAGGGAAGGTTCCAACTTTTGTTTTACTTTTTTAAAAAAAATTATTTATTTATTTATTTACTTACTTATTTTTGGCTGCATTGGGTCTTCACTGCTTCACGCAGGCTTTCTCTAGTTGTGGTGAGAGGGGGCCACTCTTCATTGTGGTGTGTGGGCTTCTCATTGCAGTGGCTTCTATTTTTGCGGAGCACGGGCTCTAGGCATGCAGGCTTCAGTAGTTGTGGCACATGGGCTCAGTGGTTGTGGCTCTTGGGCTCTAGAGTGCAGGCTCAGTAGTTGTGGCACACAGGCCTAGCTGCTCCGTGGCATGTGGGATCCTCCTGGACCAGGGCTCGAACCTGTGTTCCCTGCATTGTCAGGCGGATTCCTAACCACTGCACCACCAGGGAAGCCCTTCATTTTAATAACATAATTATTTCAGATATTGGTTTCTCTGGGTTTTTTTAAAATTTAATTAATTAATTTATTTATTTATTTGGCTGCATTGGGTCTTTGTTGCTGTGCACGGGCTTTCTCTAGTTGTGGCAAGCGGGGGCTACTCTTCTTTGCAGTGCACGGGCTTCTCATTGCGGGGGCTTCTCTTGTGGAGCGCGGGCTCTAGGTGCGTGGGCTCAGTAGTTGTGGTGTGCAGGCTTCAGTAGTTGTGGCATGAAGGCTCAGTAGTTGTGGCTTACGGGCTCTAGAGCGCAGGCTCAGTAGTTTTGGCGCATGGGCTTAGTTGTTCCGCAGCATGTGGGATCTTCCCGGACCAGGGCTTGAACCCATGCCCCCTGCATTGGTAGGTGGATTCTTAACCACTGCGGCACCAGGGAAGTCCCTGGTTTCTCTGTTAAAGTGAAATAAATTAGTATCTTTCCTTTCAGTAAACTTTAAGTTAGATTTGGGTATGAAGAGGCAGATGAGGCAGAATTATAGTTCAGAATTTACAAAGTAGTTAATGAAAACAGGCTTCTTGGGATGCAGGGGAATTCTGAGTTGAAACATGGGATGACAAGGCACACTCAGTCTGAGCTGTGCAGGCTGACAACTCCTGGGAGGGGCTGCAGGCAGCACAGGACCCTGGCTAGGCTTGGGATTGGGAGCTCAAGGGAGGCAGCCCAGGGTGCCATGTGGTTGTTTTCTGTCACTACTTCAGGCCACAGCAGGCTGAGTGAGGGTCTGGACATAGATAGAAATGCTCGTAATGTGAAACTCTATTTTTGGAGTCCTTGTGACCCTCTGAATGTGACCAGCTCTATAAAAAGTACAGGTGGCCCCAAATGTGGGTGTGTGGGGCTTCCTTTTGAAACTGTGTTTGACTGTTGGTAGTCCAAATGTCCTATGGACACATGTCCTCTTTGAGCACCTGGTCTTTTAGCTCATGTGCCAGGTCACAAGGGCCATGCACAAGAACCCCCGTGGGGTCACTGCTAGTACTTCAGCCTGTAGGCTGTATTCCCTATACTATTGTGTCAGTCCTCAGAGAAGCACCCTTCCTGCTTAAGCAAAGGTTGAGACACTCAGGTCCCTGCCCCCATAATCCTGCCGTGCTCTGAATCCTGAATGTCAACCCTGCCACCTTCCCCTCCCTGCAGTAGTGTTTGGGGACAGTATGGATAGGAACATTACCAGGACCTTGGGTCCAGCACTCACAGATGCTTCCCTTATGTGGGGGTGAAGGGTGGCAGAATGGGCCACCCATGTAGGGTGTCTGCATGGTATCCTGTGCACACACAGACCCTGTTCAGAGGAAAGTCCTCAGTCCCGGGAGATGGAGGTATGTCCAGCCTAAGGTCTGGGCATACATGGAAGAACAGATGTTGGTCTCATGAGGGGAAGTTTTGTTGCTGAGAGGACTCCTCTTGGGGACAGCAGTGTGAACTGAGACTGTAAAGGAGGCCATGCATGAAAGCAAGTCTCCTGACTGTTGAACATTCAGCTTGTGTGCTGGGCTTGCATGCCTGAGGTAGTTGTGTGAGTGCCTGGAAAAAACAGGACCATTGAGACTGGTGCCCTGGAAGGAAGGACCCGAAGTGGATGTCTCCCTTTCCCTATTTGACATCTGTTCTCTGGGTTTGGGGCTCCTTGTAGTGTGGGACAGGCCTGAAGGCTCAGCTATCAGAGGCTTGGGGTTAGGAGGGGCCTGCGGCCCAGGCAAGAAAGTGAAGTTTTTCAACAACATTTGCTAAATTGTGGGGACACTATTGAAATGCTAATTGTAGCTCTGTGCTCCACTGCCTCCAGACCAGTCTGGTATAGCTAATCTTAGAAAGAAAAGGAGATGCCAGAGGTGGGACAGGCCGTGACACCAGGAGCCTCCAATTCCTCCAAATATTCAATGTGGTTCATTCTGTGAGAGCCATGGTGAGGATCCATATCTCTGGCCACTGGGGGACTATTCCCTGCATGGAAGGCCACAGGACCCATCATGTCTGTGGGTACCATCCCTGACTGGGCCCTTCCCAGCATCTTACAGCACATTCCTCACAACTGGCCTGGCTGGCCCCCTTAGCCTGTGGAAGTGGCCACAGCCATTCCTCCGGCCTTGACACCATCCTTTGTGAATCTTGGCTTAAAATGTTCTCAGGCCCTTGGTGATCCAGCGGAGGCAAGATTGGAGGGGAACTGGGGTTGACTGAGGTCTGCATTCTGGGTTAGAGGCTTTTTTCCACAACAACCCTGAACTTTACAGATCAAGGCTTAGAGAGGCCTGGAAACTCGTCCATAGTCACTGTGCATGGCAGGCCGGGGAGGAAACTTCTCCCATGGGTGAGGCCATCTGAGTGTGCATGTGGGCCTTGTGACCAAGCTCATATTGCTCTTGGCACTGAGACCCCTGCCTTGGGAAATTTGACATCAGAATATACCTAGACCTTGGGTTTTGTGTGAAATATGCTTTATTTGTGCTGGACTTCTGCCCAGTCCAAATACTTATTTTTTCTTTCAAAGTCCTCTTTGCTGGGATTGCCTCTGTTCTGGGTGGTTAGTCACAGGTTCTTGCCTCTTGTTTTTGTTTTCAATATAGCTACCCCCAACTATTTGCAGCTGGGATGTTATCTGGTGTATTCACCACGGGAATTATGACCCCTGGAGAACGGATCAAGTGCTTGTTACAGGTGAGGGTGTGATCTGGGGTGGGGGGATATGATTTGCGGGGAGGTGGCTAGCTTTTTCCATTGGGTATACAATTTTGTGTGGATGTTTATGTCCTTTCACCCTTTATAAAGACTTCAGGTCAGGTGTGCAAAACAGTTTCAAGGTTTTCAGGAACATGGAAGCAATCGTAGTAGAATCAAGAACCAGGACAGTGTAACAAATCAACCAAATATCACACCTGTGATGGATGAGCTCAGACTTATCCACCCTAATTAGCAGCTACTTCAGGAACTCTGAAAGGTGAGTCATGCCTCATCAGAGGTGGAAGGGAGGCTGCTCCTGCCTAACATGTTATGTCTCTGCCATTTGCCCAAAGCCTCAGTGCCGTTAAAGTGTCTGGCTTGTTCCCAGGCCAAGGGTGTGAACTGACTGCCTGCCTTACCACACAGGGCTCCTTTTTAAAAAAGTGTTACTGCCTTTTTCTTCTAATGGCTGAAGCAATTTAACACATAGTCTTTGCTAGAAAAATTTTGATAATGCAGAGAAGCACACAGAAAACAATGTATTTATCACCCATGATACCACCCCACTGTTATGCTTTCTGTGTGAATTCTTCTAGTCTTTTTGGTAAACTTGTATTAAAAAAAGTTATCTTTTGAAATAAAATTGGGGTCACATATTGCAATAGTTTTGTAACCAGTTTTTTTCATTTGATATGTCACAATATTTTTGTGATTTTTTTTCTCAAGTGTCATTTTCTGTATTTTATTTCAATACATGGCTGTCATTTACCCAATAATACCTTATCTGGGGACATGACAAATTATATGCCATAGTGAAGATCTTTGTAAATAAGTCTCTGCATGTGTTCCTGATTATTTTCTTAGGATAAATGTCTAGACTTGAAATTAGTATGATTAAAGGTATGTACTTTTTTTTTTAAGGTATGTACTTTTTAAAAAGGTTTTTAATGCATTTTACTAAATGGCCCTCCTATAAAAGTCTGTCATTTTCTATTCCTGTCAATAGTATAAGAGCTCTTACTTCCCAGCAGATTCTGTGGCATCTAATTTACAATCTCTGCTAGTCTGATGGGTGAAAAATTTACATTGTTTTAATTTTTCTTGCTTTTAATTGTCGGTGAGGTTAATTTTTTGATGCATATTAGCTGTTTGTATTTTTCCTTTGTGAAATACCTATTTGTGTTCTTTGCTCATTTGTTTTTCTATTGACTTATAAAAGCTTTGGACATGTTTGAATTTATTATTTTGTTTTATTTAATTATTTTTGGCTGTGTTGGGTCTTCATTGCAGCGCGGGCTCTCTCTAGTTGCCGCGAGCAGGGGCTACTCTGTTGCGGTGCGTGGGCTTCTCATTGTGGTGGCTTCTCTTGTTGCAGAGCACAGGCTCTAGGCGTGCGGGCTTCAGTAGTTGCAGCGCACGGGCTCAGTAGTTGTGACACGTGAGCTCTAGAGCGCAGGCTCAGTAATTGTGGCCCATGGGCTTAGTTGCTCTGCAGCATGTGGGATCTTACCGGTTCAGGGATTGAACCCATGTCCCCTGCATTGGCAGGCAGATTCTTAACCCCTGCGCCACCAGGGAAGTCCCCAATTTATTATTTTTTAAAATTTTTATACAATTTTTAAGGTTACACTCCATTTACAGTTATTACAAAATATTGGTTGTATTCCCCAAGGTGTACAATACATCCTTGTAGCCTGTCTTACACCCAATAGTTTGTGCTTGTCACTCCCCTACCCCTAAAACCTTTGGACATATTAAGGTTATTAATTTCTTATCATATTTGGCAAATCTTTTTCATGCTTTGCATTTGTCATTTAATTTTGTGCATTTTTAAAATTAAATTTTTTATTTTGAGATACTTATAGATTCACATACAGTTCTAAGAAGTAATACAAAGGGGAAATAAAGAAATAAATAATAGAAAAGGATCCCACGTACCCTTTACTCAGTTCTTCCACAGAGGTAATATATTGTAAAATTATAGTACAATATCGCAACCAGAATATTGACATTGTTACAGTCAAGATACAGAACAATTCCATCATGCCAAGGATCCTTCATGTAGCCCGTTAATAGCCACATTCACTTTCCGTACCCCACTCCAGTCCTTAACCACCCCAGCAACCACTAATCTGAACTCTATAAGCCTGTAATTTCAAGACTTATATAAATGGAAGTATATACAGTATGTAAACTTTTCAGAATGGCTTTTTCAACTCAACCTAATTTTCTAGAGATTCATACAGATAGTTGCATATATGAATAGTTCATTCCTTTTTAGTAGTCCATGGTGTGGATATACTAGAAATATGTTTAACTTTTCATCCATTGAAGGACATCTGGGTTGTTTTCAGTTTTTGGCTATTATAAATAAAGATGCTATAAACATTCATGTACAGAGGTTTTTCTGAGAAAATCAGTCTTCATTTCTCTGGGATAAATGCCCAGGAGTATAATTGCTGAGTCATGTGGTAGTTGCATGTTTAGTGGGGGTTTCTTTGGGTTTTTTTGTTTTTTTTGGCCACACCGCGCCAGCATGTGGAATCTTAGTTCCCCCATCAGGAATCAAACCTGTGTACTCTGAAGTGGAAGCGTGGAGTCTTAACCACTGGGTCTCCAGGGAAGTCCCATGCGTGTTAGTTTTTAAAGAAACTACCAAACAGTTTTTTCAGAGTAGGTATATCATTTTACGTTTCCACCAGCAATGTATGAGTGATCCAGTTTCTCTGCATCCTCACCAACATTTGGTGTTGTCACTGTTCTTAATTTTAGCCATTCTGATAGGTGTGTAGTGATATCTCATTTTAATTTGTATTTTCCTAATAGCTGAAGATGTTGAACATCTTTTCCTGTGCTCATTTGCTATATGTATATCCTGTTTGGTGAAATGTTTGTTCATGTGTTTTGCCCATTTTCTAATTGGATTATTTGTTTTTTTATTATTGAGTTTTGAGAGTCCTTTATTCTAGATACTAGTGCTTTGTCAGATATGTGGCTTGCAAATATTTTCTCCCAGTCTATAGTTTGTCTTTTCATCCTCTCAACAGAGTCTTTTGAGCAAACATTTAAAATTTTTATGAAGTCCAGTTTGTTAATTTTTCTTTTATGGATTGGGTTTTGGGTGTTTGGGGCATCAGGTCTTAAGAATTCTTTACCTAGCCTGCAATCCCGAAGATTTTCTTATATGTTTTTTCCAAAAGTTTTATCTATAGTTTACCTTTTACATTTAAGTCTGTGACTCCATTTTGAGTTAATATTTGTATTATGTATGAAAATTAGGTCAGAGTTCTTTTTTTTTTCTTTTCCCTAGGGCTGTCCAATTGTGCCATACCATTTGCTGAAGAGACTTATCTTTCTTCCACTGAATTGTGTTTGCATCTTTGTTAAAAATCAGTTGGGCATGTTTGTGTGGGTCTACTTCTGGGTACTCTAGTTTCTTCCATTGATTTATGCATCTATCCCTTCACGAATACTACAGTCTTGATTAGTATAGCCATATACTAAGTCTTGAAATTGACTGATGCCCCCCACTTTATTCTTTAAAAAAAAATGGGGACTTCCCTGGTAGCGCAGTGGTTAAGAATCCGCCTGCCAACGCAGGGGACACGTGTTCGAGCCCTGGTCCGGGAAGATCTCACATGCCTCGGACCAACTAAGCCCATGCACCACAACTGCTCAGCTTCTGCTCTAGAGCCTGAAAACCACAACTACTGAACTCGTGTGCCACAACTACTGAAGCCTGTGCTGCTCCACAACAGGAGAAGCCACCGCAATGAGAGCCCCGTGCACCGCAACGAAGAGTAGCCCCCGCTCGCCACAACTGGAGAAAGCCCACGTGCAGCAACGAAGACTCAACACAGCCATAAATAAATAAATTAACTAATTAATGAAAAAAAATTGTTCTAGCTATCCTAATTCCTTTGTATTGGGTTGGCCAAAAAGTTTGCTCGGGTTTTTCCGTAACATCTTACAGAAAACTTTTTGGCCAACCCAATATTTCTATGTAAATTTTAGGGTAATTTAGAAAATTGAGAAAAATCTTGCTGAGATTATGTTAAACCTATAGGTCAATTTGGGTAGAATTAACACATTATTTTGAGTCTTCCAATACATGGACATGATATATCTCTCCATTTATTTAGTTAATTTCTTTGATCAGCATTGTGTAGTTTTCAGCATATAAGCTCTTAATGTGTTTTCTTATATACCTAAGTGCTTCTCTCTTAATTTGACTTTGTAAAACGGCATTGTAAATGGTATTATAATTTTAATTATGTTGTCTACATTTTCATTGCTAGTTTGTAGAAATACAATAAATTTTTGTATGTTAATCTTGTATCATGTGAACCTTCCTGAATGCCCTTATTAATTCTAGGATTTTTTTTTTGGTAGATTCCTTGGGATTTCCTATGTAGATAATCATGTTATTTGCAAATAGGGACAGTTTTATTTCTTCATTTCTAATCTATTTACCTTTTATTTCCTTATTTCACTGGCTAGAATTTCCAGTACTGTGTTGAATAAGAGTGATGAGAGTGGATATTTTTGCCTTGTTCCCAATCTCATGGGGAAGTATTCACTATTTCACTGTTAAATATGATGTTAGGTGTAGTTTTTTGTTTGTTTGTTTAGCTTTTTTGGCCACACCATGCTGCATGCAGGATCTTAGTTCCCCGAACAGGGATGGAACACGGTGCCCCCTGCAGTGGAAGTGTGGAGTCTTAACCACAGGACCACCAGGGAGGTCCCAGATGTAGTTTTTTTGATAGATGACCTTTATCAAGTTGAGAAAGTTACCTTCTATTTGTCTTTTTCTGAGAGTTTTCTCATGAATGGATATTGACTTTTGTCAAATTCTTTTTCTTCATTTATTAATGTGATCATGTGATTTTTCTCCTTTAACCTCTTATACGGTGAATTACATCAATCGATGTTTGAATCCTGAACCAATTTTGAATTGCTGGAATAAACCCCCCAACTTGGTCATAGTGTATAAT